ATTTTTCGCGCGCCACAAAATTCACAAGCGCATCATCATCCTACTGAGCCTCCACCCTCTCTTGATCGACCGGCGTGAGTCTGATATTATCCAGATCGACTTCAGCTTTCAAACTGCTCACTTGCCAATTCGGCAATACGTCCAAGCCCAGAGTTAGGGTATTCCGTGTTGGCATCAAGTCGAACTCAGCCGACTCCGCTGTCACCACCATTCGGTGCCAGCTCTTGAGGGGATACTCTGTATATTGCTCCTGTGGGGCCAAGACCAGACGCGCCCCAAAGCCCTCAAGGGCCTCCGATATGTGATTTATAGTAGCAAGAGCCCTTCTGCCCGCATCGGTGAGAGGATCCACACTGCCAGTGATCTCAGCGATCAACCGACCTCTAGCAGGTACGTCAAACCCGGCAAGTGGCGCCTTGTCGAAAACATTGTCGAGGCCTTCTTCTATGACCTCCCGATGAGGATTCTCTGTAGTAGCCAGTGACTGCACCAACGTAAACGCCACACTGCACGCGATCGGGTCCAAGCCCACACACGCATCCTCTTGTGCGCCAGCCTGTTCATAAGGTGCCAATAACGAGGTCAGCAAATCGACCAGAATAGGCTTGCTCTCATTGACGTCGACTTCCGTCCTTCTCCCGTTAATAACGAGTACCACACCGCGGCTATCTTCAGCGTGAGCCGACCGCACCAGTCGAGACGCAGCCTCGTTCACGTTGGGATCAACTGCCGCTGGGGTCTGGCTGCACTTATCAATGTTGAAACTCCTCAACCCATCAAGACTGTTAACACAGCCGATCATCTTGGCGTTGACCTCAGAATTCACTCCGACGACTGTGATAATAGCTCCGCTCCGCCCTTTGAGAGCCGCCGCGACTTTCTCCACCACCAAAAAGTTTTCATCGAGTTCCTCTTCCGTACCACCAACAACCACAAGAACATGTAGCGGCACCCTCGGCCCTCCCGAGTTGGGCGCAATTTCCAAATTCGCGACTTGACGCAAACTGTCGATCGGCAACAACACCCGGGGTTGTTCCTCGTCGGGGAACAGCGCCGGATGGTAAACCGCGGAGAGAAACTTAACGCGTTTTTCCGGGAAAATAAGTTCCCGTATCACGTCAGTGATTTCATCCTCGTCGAAATCCAAACCGGTTTCTTTCTTTTTCTGCCGCTCCACTACTCTCGTGTACCACGCCGAGCCCAACGCCCCAAAGTCTTCGGTGATAAACACCGCCAATTCGGAGAGGTCACCACTCACTCTCCCATTGACAACAACAGCCGGAAATGGCAGCGCCTTCGCGCGCGCCCAGGCTTGTCCGTTTTTAATCACTTCGGAGAGCTCTTGAGGAGTCGGCGATAAGTCCTCAAGCATGACTTCCTCACAAACCTCTTCAATGGTCTCGACTGACATCACTTCATCGTCTTCCCCATTCGCCGCTCTCACCAGGGCTTGCAGAAAATGTCGGATTTTCTTCAACTCCTTCTTGCGACCGAGTCCATAAACTTCACTAAAACAGTGCGCGGCTCGCGCGCCCGCCTCTGTGGTGGTA